TGTTAAGGTTTTTGCAAGTTTCCATTTGTGGTACACCTACTCTTTATTGTGATAATCTCTCTACAATTGCTCTTACATGTAATCCTGTTTAGCATCAGCGCACAAAACATATTGAAATTGATGTTCACTTTGTGAGAGAACGGGTGGCTAAAAGATTGTTGTTGGTTCAATTTGTCTCTTCCCTTTGAGCAGTTTGCAGATATCTTAACTTAAGGGTTGTATGCTCCATTATTCAAGACTCACTATACCAATCTCAGACTCAGTTTTGCTACCCCTGAGATTGAGAGAGGATGTAAGGAATAATCAATCTAAGGGCTATACTCTTGACAAGTGTCATAAGATTAGACAAGTAGTTAGTAGTTTGTTAAACAGTTAGCTTATAGTGTAAGCAACATTAGGTGTATATATACTATAAGGATGATATAAACAGTTAATGAAAAGAATTAAAACAAACAAATTACTTCTTCTCCAAGTATTTTCTCTCTCTGTCTCTCCCTCTCTAAGTCTGTTATCTTCTTCTTCTTCTATATATATTCAAGCTTGGTTTGATACTCGTAAATGAAATTCAAGAAGTAAATTAATATTAATGTAAGCTTTGGATGCGGTGAGGAGACCGTAGTGAATGTGGTGGTGGGAGTGGTGGGGTGGGAGAAAATAGCGAGGCCGAAGAGATTAAGTTTGACCATTGAGGCTTCTTCTTCCATGACCAGATAGTACATGGAGGATTGAAGACCAAACGTAAGGTTGAGTGTTAGGAATGGCTTATGTGATAGCTAGGTCTATGAGTGGGTGAGATAGAGCGTAGTAAGGGACTTTCTAGGATACTACCGAGTATGGACATATTGCGGGCATATTGTTACGAGTAATGCTATCCATACCATATTTTTATACCACATTTCTATACCACTTTAGGTGGCATCTGATGTGGACAGCCACATCATTTGAAAAATTTGCAAAACCCAAGGAAAGGAAGGAGAAAGACTCATCATATACTACAATCATCAATTAATTAACTAGTTTTTCTTAATTATTAGTTTATTAAATAATGAACTAAATTTAAAATTTTCATTAATTCAAATGGTATAGCTGTTCACATGAAATGCCACCTAAGGTGGTATGAAAATGTGGTACAAAAATATGGTATGAATAGCATTACTATTAGATCTTCTTTTTTTTTAAATAAATAAATAAATAAGATTTAATGGTTAAAATATCCAGAGTACTGAATATTCTGGAGCATTCATGAATAATTAAACAAATTGCATGTTAGATATATGTTATTAGTTGAATATTACGAGAAGAATATGTGTAAGGAAAATTTAAGCTTCAAAGTTGCATGTGTAATTCATAAATAATTGGTAAAACTACATAGGATTGTCGATGGCGATTATTAAACCCTAGTGTTTCTTACCTTTAATTTTTCCAAAACTATTTTTATTTTATTCTTCCTGCCAGTTTTAATTATAAATCAATATCAATTATTTGTTTTCGGTTTTCTTTAATTGAACTCACAGTTTCAAATACTTTTCTCAAATCAGTTTTTAAACAAGAATTAAGGACTAGTTTTAAGTACAAATTATTCATTCAATCATTGTAGAGAACGATCTTATTTGAGTTGTTATATTACAATTACCTTGTTCTCTTACAAGTATTTTTAAGTGTTTTTCTCACTACTTTTGCAGGTGGTAAAAATCCTATCAACCACCTTCAGTAATTGTGCGCACTTACTAATATAATTTGAACTAACAGTACAAAGTCATCATGTGACCATCATGTATACAGTTCCTTGAGTAAAAATTAACTAACAACACGAACCAAATTTATGGATGCAGTGGTGAAGTACTTACTTCTGGTTATCGATATCTCTACTAAAATCCTAAGAAATTATGAGTTTAAACCTCTAATTAAAACAGAACATGAATAAGAAATATGGAGCAGAAATGTAATTTCACACAACCAAATTTTTCTGTTTCTTTTCAAAGCCTCACCGACATGAAATCCTAACATATCTCTAATTTAAAAAAAATTAAAAATAAAAAATAAAAAAAAACTTCTTATTCCCACATTTTCTATCACTCTCCTCCTCTCTCCTTCTATTTCAAAAACAAAAATAAAAAATTTTCTCACACACTTTGTATGTGCCCATATGCTAGTAATTAAATTAACAAAGCTTTGGGTAGTTGTGTTGTTGGGCCCTATAACAGTTAAAGAGGTAATACAAATGTAATATTACTCATTTTTCTTCATTACAGTTTAAACTAACAAAATGAACCAACAATTATATATAACTCAAATGTTAAGGTAATTGTTTCGACAAAAAAAAAATGAACGAGTATATATCCTCTCCGGATCCACTTGCGAGGATCCTGATCCATAAATCGTGTCCGTTGATCATGCATTGTGCGGTCAGAAATCATTTTAAACTTGTTTTTTTAAATTTAAATATAAATAGTACCTGACGAAAACTAACTACACGATGTACGATGAATGAACATGATTTATGGATCCCTAAGATCCTCACAAAGAGGATCCGGAGAGAATCTCCGTTCAAAAAAAACTGTTAAGGTGCCGGTTTAAGGATTAAAATGACAAAACATTGTCCTTATACGACTATTATATACTTTTTCTTGAATGCGAGTACAGTTTAACCAACTTAAAAAACCTGTAACTATTTTTAACTGCAATGATAAAGTAGTTACATTCACTTACGAATAGGGCTTCGATAAATTATTTCTTTTTTTTTTTTTTTGGGGGAAAGTGGCCGAGCTTTTATTAAAACAAACACACACTAACACACAAAACAAAGGTTCAGTTTATTTCTAGAAACAAACAAAAAAAAACAGACCTAAAAACAAAGAAAACACAGAAAATGAGCCCAACAACAGTGAAGCCCAAACAAAAACGAACATTTAAGAAACATCCATTGTCCTCTCCACTGCCAATCCGAGAAGCAGCCAGCCATCCAATCCTCCGTCCACCGCCAATCATCACCTCCACAGGCGCCACCTGCACACAGCCATTAACAAGAGATAGTCGAGAGAAAAGCCAACCATCGGAAAGAAGCTTTGGGAATCCCAAGCAACACAGTCGTGAACGGCAGACAACAAGGAGAACGTGGTGGTGTGAGAAACACCCGAGCCGGATACAACACCGGAACTCTACACATGAACTCTACAGAAACCATTGCTAAAAAACAAAGCACGGAAGGGCCATGAAAAAAGATACCCACGGGGGTTGGAGGATGGGAAAAGCCAGAGAGGAAAAGGAGAAGAACCATCAGCAGATGGAAGGGGAGAAGAAAGAAAAAACAAAAGCAAAAAAACCAAAGGAAATGGAGAAAGACCATGAGCAGATGGAAGGGGAGAAGAAAGAAAAAGCAAAAACAAAAAACCACCCACTGATCCCAGCCGTAGCTAGGATCGGCGGTACCAAACGGAAGCACGATCGGGAAATCACTCACACAATATGGTGAGAAGCACCCTCAAATAGAGGGAAGAACTCTTACAGGGAAAGAAAAGAGGAAAGTTTGATAAATTATTTCTTTCTCGTCAATACTCAAGAGGGGCGTGGACGATCATGCATGGGTTACTGGTCACAGTTACAAAAATAAAATTCTTCATGCGACAATCAATCTTTTACCAATTACAAATATATATCTAAACTATTAAATAATAAAATTTTCTTTGTCAATTAAAAGAGGATGACAAACAGTTTGGCCTTCTATTATAAAGTAAAATTATGAGCAGTAATATAATTTTACACAAACCAAATTTGTATTTTCTTCAAACATCGCCCACATGTCATTATAATTTCTCTAATTTTTTTTCTGTCTCTCTTTCACATATCTTTCCAACTTGTCTAGCTGGCTAACTCGCTTTTTCCTAACCTGAATTGGAAACAAAAAAAAAATCCTAGTAACACAAATTCGATACTGTAGATATAAAATTAAAAGATTTAAATTAACCAATATATTATTATAACTCATTCCAACAATTTACTTGATCAGTTTGATATTTTTCACAAATTAAAAATTTAAGGACTAATGAGCGTATTCTATTTTGGTGTGAAAATGTTCCCCCAGCGCATGCCACTATTTGAAATCATTTGGCGTTTACCACCTACCCGTGGAGGGTAGGGTGTGCACCATTAAGCCTACAACCAATCACTTTATTGCATTTCTTAGTTTCAGAACACTATACTAAGCTCGGCCAACACATGCTAATATAGTCACTTAGTATTATATTCTAGTGGTATTACTTTTCACTTATAAGTGAGAGACTTTAAATTCGATTCTTGTCAAAGACGAATTTGAATTACATTATTGTTAGCCCATTGTAAGGCTAAACCCACCCCGCTCCCCTTAGTGTAGATAATATCGTTTGTTCAGAATAAAAAAAAATAAAAAAACACATGCCAATATAAACCATTCCGAGTCTCTGCCCAAAAAATCACAATATGAACCATGGCTTAAACTTGAAATGAGAGTCGAGTCACACGATTGCTGTATGTCCCTTGTCTGTTACGCAAATGATTTCTGCGCCAAGATCTCCAATGTTCCGTGACTTCCATATGAATAATTAAATAATATTAGGAAGATCAAATTTTTATCAAATTTACAAATTAAATGATATGTCACCGATAGAAAATAAGCACGTTAATCAACACTTAAGTAATGATCTAATTATCAACAACTTCATCATTTGATTTGCAAATTTGGTTTAAAAATTGGTTAATGCTAGGAAGATTAAATTTGTAAACTAAATTTGCAAATTAAAAAATGTCACAAATAAGAAATAAACACATTAATCAATGCTTAGTAATAATTCAATCATTAACTACCATGTCATTTAGACTACAAATTTACTAGCATTATTCTTAAAAAAATTCCAAATTTGATTTTGCAAATTAACGGTTATCTTTTTTATATTTTCAGTATCACACTACAAACCCTGCTCTTACCTGTGACTGCAAAACTCTATATAAACCCAAAAATCCCACTTCATAGTTCAACACAAAAAAGGAAACCAACACTTTCTCTTCCACCCTCCATGGAAAAAAAAATCGATGAGAGCTTATGGGTTTTGGCTATCATCTCCAAATGCCAAGCCTTATCCTCCACAACCACCGTCGTTGCGTTCCTCTGCACGGCCGCAGCTTGGCTAGGCGCGGCCGTCTTCTACTGGGCTTATTCTCCCGGAGGTCCAGCGTGGGGAAATATTCGATGGAAGAGAAGAAACTCTCGTGAAAAAAATGAAATCACTAACTCCAACCCAATTCCCGGGCCACGTGGATTTCCAATCATAGGAAGCATGAACCTCATGACAAACCTAGCTCACCACAAACTCACAAAAGCGGCGGAGGCTTTCGGCGCAAAGAGGCTCATGGCTTTTAGCATGGGCGAGACGCGCGCCATCGTCACATGCGACCCCGACGTAGCTAAGGAAATCCTCAACAGCTCCGTCTTCGCCAACCGTCCAATAAAAGAGTCAGCGTACTGTCTCATGTTCAACAGAGCAATCGGGTTCGCTCCTTACGGAAGTTACTGGCGTACTCTCCGCTGCATCGCCGCCACCCACCTCTTCTGCCCGAAGCAAATCTCCACTTCCGAGGGTCTCCGTTCCAGGATTGCTGATCAAATGGTGTCCCTTATCTCGACAAGTTGTAACAACAGCTTCCTTGTCCGCGACGTACTTAGGAAGGCTTCGTTGAACAGCATGATGTGCTCAGTTTTGGGACGTAAATACGAGCTGTGTTCGTCGAATAAAGAGACCGAGGAGCTGAGTCGACTTGTCGATGAAGGTTATGATATGTTGGGAAAGTTGAACTGGTCCGATCACCTTCCTTGGCTTGCCGGCCTGGACCTCCAGGGCATCCGGCTTAGATGCAACAAACTCGTTCCTCAAGTGAACGGGCTCGTCAGCCGAATTATTCAGGAGCATAGAGCCCAAACCGGTCCTAGGAACAATGATTTTGTCGACGTTCTTCTATCTCTTGATGGAGCTGATAAGTTGTGCGACAATGATATGATTTCAGTTCTTTGGGTAAGCAAAAAATTCTCAAACACTTATATTAATTTTCCATATTTATTTTGTCTAATTTTATGTTTGATAGAAGTAGTGGATTGTCTAGGTGATTATGATATTCTTTTTCAATATTGAGTTCAAACTCTTAAATTTTTTAACGTAAATTAGTATAAAATATAGCTTTTATGTATAATAGTGTAATGTTTCTCAAAAAAACAGAGTAGTACAAAGTTTTAAATTATGTTGTAAATTTGTTTTGCATTTTCTTTTTCCTTCAACTTTCAATATAAACTATATTTAGCAGGTCTTTTTAAATTTATTAACGTTGCATGTTTTGATTTCATACAATAGGAGATGATATTCAGAGGAACAGATACTATAGCCGTTTTGATAGAGTGGATCCTTGCAAGGATGGTGATGCATCATAATATCCAATCGAAGGTTCACGAGGAGCTCGATCGCGTCGTGGGAAAATCACGATCGTTGGTCGAATCCGACATTCAATCCCTGCCTTACCTGCAAGCGGTGGTCAAAGAAGTCCTGAGAATGAATCCCCCGGGTCCACTTCTATCTTGGGCCCGCTTGTCCATCACAGATACCATAGTGGATGGCTATCAAGTGCCAGCGGGGACCACAGCAATGGTGAACATGTGGGCCATAACCAGGGACCCAGAAGTGTGGCTGGATCCACTAGACTTTAAGCCAGAGAGATTTGTGTCCAATAACAAGGAAGCTGACTTTCAGTTCCCTGTATTCGGGTCTGACTTGAGGTTGGCACCGTTCGGGTCGGGTAGGAGGAGCTGCCCCGGGAAAGTATTGGGGTTGACTACAGTAAACTACTGGGTCGGGCTGTTGCTATATGAGTTTGAGTGGTTTAAGTCGGATCCTAATGCCCCGGTGGACCTGTCCGAAGTGATGAGGCTTTCATGCCAAATGGCTAACCCTCTCACTGTCCAAGTGCATCGCAGGCGCAACTAAACAAATTAAAGCATGCCGGTTACATCCAGCCGGAAAAACCCTTTGTCCGAGACTCGGAGTGTTCATCTTTTTGTCCATAGCCAACCGCCAAAGACGAGAATTTGGTAGGATATACATGTTTAGAAGTTCTTTGTAAGAAGTACACCTTCAAGTGAAGTCTCGTTTAATGCATCAGGTTGTATATACTAATTTCGATCGTACAATATTAGTATGTGTCAGGCTTGTGATCCTTACAATAAAGCATAAGTTATAGTACTAGACTAAGACTTATTAATTGTAATGTGTTTATTTTCGTAATAGCAATCAAATTGTCCTTTGTTATAAATAAAATAAAATAAAAAACAATAGGTTTTTGCCTTGATAGTTTACAATTTTAAGAACCTCTCAAAGTTATCACATTCACCAACTTAGACAGAACTAGCTAGCGTGAAAATTACAGATGAGCAACTAGTTGAGAGAAGAGAACGTGGATTGAATGAAGCTTTGATGTTGAACGATGAGAAATCAGGGGCGGCCCAGGTCCAGTGTGGGCAGGTCGACCGTTCGGGACCCAAAAAAATTAGGGGTACCAAAATTATTAGTGTGGCATATTTATATATGTTTTCAAAAGAGTATAAATTTATAAAATTTGCTCTAATGACAAAGAAATTTAACTAGAACCGGTGATTTTATTGTTTGAAATTAATGAGATATTGGGTTCAAAACACCATATGTGCTTATTTAAATTCTAATTTTTACAAAAAAAAATTTCATAGCAGTATAAATTTATAAAATTTGGCTAAATGATTAGAAGTTTAATTAGAAGCAATGATTTTTGTATTTAAAATTAGGTCCTAAGTTCGAAACGCTATGTGCATGCTTATTTTTTTCAATTTTTACAAATTTTTGTTTGTTTGTTAATTTATTTTTAACTACTAGCTAGTAACTATGTAGGTTGCTATTTTTAAACATTTGTTCCAATTCAAGTCTAATCTTCAACAAAGGGTAATGTGTAGACTAAATTTTTAGATCAAATTTACAAATCATATGGCGTGCCATCAAAATGTTTAATTTAGTGCTCATTCATTACTTATACATATCCTTAAAGACTCGAAAATATCATTATTTTTTTAGTCTTATATTGACGAGGTTAATAAATAAGAAAAAACACCTCACGATTTATATAAAAACACTTTAAAAGTTCAAATGGAAGACAAAACTCATAATCTATCTACTTGTAAGCCTGAAGTTTTTTGGTTTCCTTCTCTCGATACAAACTAAATTAGTTTTTCCGTATTTCTAAATTACTAAGTTTGAAGTGCTTTTCTAAATATAATTTTATCAATGTCTTAAGTGTAAAAACAAATAATTTCTTTATATGAAGTGAGGGCATATTTTTTAGCGTCTCCCCGAATCTCAAAAATCTCTGGACCAGCCCCTGTGAGAAATACTACTAAAATGGTATACATGTGTATTTATTTCGTCTGCATGTCTTAGTAATTAAGAGGTGTTTAGTCAAGTCCAAATCAATCTTTTGCACGTAAGGTTGGCAATCAACTTCTGAGTTCATCAGTTTGATGTTTGTCGTTTGGCTGTACCTGTACGGCCCAGCGATGTTTATTTTTGCGACGATGACCATGTCGGTTTTCTAAACAAGCTTGTGACGACAAGATTTTTATAGTAAGATTTGTATGAAATCATTTTTTGGATCTTATAACAAATGAATATGCCCTTTGTCTGTGATGAGATGAGACCCTACCCACGTATATGCTTATGGCATATCGAATACATGCAAATGAATTAGGATGAAAGCACATGTCGGTCAATAATTCATGTGCAGAGTGATTAACATATGTATAGAGTTAATATATGATATCGTGTTATTGAACTAAATGTTATCAACATCACAATCATGGTCAAAATTATCCTTATAACACCGTCTTATGACACCGTTGGCATCACAATGATGGTCGAGTTTGTGTAAGAATCAAACATCTATGTCCAATTTCCTAAGATTTTTATGGTGATTTTATTTTAGTCGCGCTCCAAATTTTTCATATTTGAAAAAAAAAATTACACTTATAAGAAGTGCATAATGAGATTTTTTTAATGTTAATAACAATTCTTTTATTTTCTTTCAAATAGAATACTTAGTAGTTTTGTTGATCCTTTTTGGGTACAACTCAATTCTTGGCTTTTTTTCAACAAACGATATGATCCATACTGAAAAATCTCTCGAGACGAGGGGAATATGCAAGCGTGAAAAGAAATGTGCAAAAATAAGAAGTATTTTAATACAAATATATCGGCTGATTGGCTTTGTTGACCACACGTCCGGGCGGTTTTGGTTGTGGAGGCGGCGACAGTGATTGTAGTTAGGAAATATAAAAGGTAAAAGACACTTTAGAGAGTCAAATTGCAGAAAAAAGACCAGGAGAGTGAGAGGTATTTGCGGGTGAAAGAAACCGAGTTTAAGCTATTAAGAAATAGATAACAAAGTGTAGTATATAAGAGGGATTTGAAATGTCTTTTTTTTTTTTCTTTTTTCTTTTTTTTGATTAGAAATGTCTTCTACAAGTATTGAAAAAGGATGTGAGAAGGGTTTTTAAATCCTTGCTTGGGGAATCATTTATAAGTCTCATTCATAAGCCTCTGTAATGATTATAAAGGGCATTGCTAATCTCCCATGTGATGTATTCTTCAATAATTTGGGACATGGAAAATCCCTCACCCAAAGTTTTAGAACTTAATTATGAATGTATTGATTGACAATGATATACATATAAAGAAGGATAATAGCTTCATCTGACAAGTCCAAAGAAAATAGTTAAGATTAACTCGAGGAAGTAAGCAATGGTGGGCTGGATAGATAGGAGCCAAACAGATGAGGAGGACGCATCAGCAGCTATGGAGAAAGAGGGAGGAGGGGGATACCACATTTATAATTAGAATTAGGGTTTTAAGAAAAAAGGAGAGACAAAAGAGAGGTAACTTAACGTATTGATTCATTGACAATGATGGGCATCATATGCATGTTATTGCCTCAAACTTTCTTGGCCTAAGCGGTCATAGTACCTTTAAGAAGCTGGCCGCGGAGGATGACCTATGCATACCTAGTTAGCAGGTTGAGGTCTCATTCGTTAATAGAATTAACTAGACAAATCACTCCACCAACTAAGAATAGTCATGCACCACCACCCATACAATCAAGAAAGAGCTCTCAATTTGTCAATCCTTACTACGTCTGGACTTAGTAAGTTTCCTTGTGTTGAGTCAAAATAAGTCGCAGCTCCATTCTTGGTGGTACCTTTCCGTCAATTCCTTTAAGTTTCAGCTTTGCGACCATATTTTCCTCGGAATCTATAAAACTTTAATTTCTCATAAGGTGTCGGTGGAGTCCTAAATGTAACATTCATCGATCCCTGGTCAGCATCGTTTATGGTTGAAACTAGGATGGTATCTGATCGTCTTCGAGCAGCCAACTTTCATTCTTGATTAATGTAAACATCATTGGCAAATTCTTTCGCAGTTGTTCATCTTTCATAAATCCAAGAATTTCATCTTTGACTATAAATATATATGTTGGAAACGGATCAACAAGGTTCAATATATTATTGATGTAATAATAATATATAAAATCACAATATAATCTAATATTATTTGAATATAAATTGCAATACAAACTGAAAGCAAATGACAGAAAACAAAGAACAGTAACATCTCAATAGGAATTCATTAACTTGTTGAGTAGAAAGAAGGTTACGGATTGTAATGTCTTTGAAACAGATTTTCAGCTCTACAAAATGCTTGTAGTTTGTTAAGCATTCGCTTCACCATGATTCAACTATCTAAATCAAAATCCTTGCAGTGAGACTTTAATTTCTAGCGAAAATCAATGTGGTTCTCAATAGGAAGACAAGTATGGAAGTTTGGGGTTGATGTTATATTCTTTGTCATGCAATGATGTGTTTATATAAAACATGTCGAACATCATACCAACAGGTGTGAGCAGTTAGAGCATCTGTAACACTTCAAGCTAAAATTTTGCTAGTTTAGCTAGCGAAATGTCCAAAAGCTATTATAGCTAGCCAATTTAGCATGACCATCTCAACACTGCTAGCTATTTTAACAAAAACTACAATATTTTATTATTTAACCACTCTACCCTTTAAGATTTAATTACTTATTCATTTGATAAATTAAAAAAAAAAAAAAAAAACTAATGAAAAAGGTTTGAAAACTTTGAGTTTTAACAATAAGGACAAAATAATAGGTAAAGTGAATAGTACCAGGATTGACTTTTTAGTATAAAAATGTGGTTTTTCGTTAAAGTGAACAATACCAGAAGTTTTTTGTTAAAGTTCCCAAAATCAAAATCCCAACCCATGAACAATTCTAAGACCACTGTTTATCTCTCTCTCTTTGCTTTGTCTGTTCCTTTCTCGCTTTCTTCTTTTTCCCTTCTTTCTCTTGTGTTTACTGTTGTGTTGAGAATGAATTTCACATTGATAAGAAAAGGGACCTTGCATGGGCTTACGAGTAAGTTGGGCTAATTCTCATATTGCCAATTAATTTTATGGTGGAACCTCAACTTTATTCATGGTATCAGAAAGTAGGTTGTTCACATGTGAAGCTCAACAATCACAAGTGCTTCATGTCACCCCGTCTGTGTTGTCCACGTGTTTGACTTAAAAATTTGCCATAAATGAAGGGCATGTTGTGAATTAATCACACACTGATGGGAGGATGGACCTTGCATAAGCTTACAGGAAAGTTGAGTTAATCCCTATATCGTCTATTGATTTTATGTGGAACCTCAATTTTCTTCGTGCTGGTTTAAGCTACTGGCAATTGTAGTGGAGTATCGAGACACTTCGCAGCCTAGCATCTTCGACTTCGACCTCCGCCTTCACTTTCACTGCTTTTCTTCATCTCTCTAGTCGCTTAAGACTCTCTTTCTCCACTGTTTGTCACTGCTCTTACAAACCGTTTCTCATCAGACTTATTCTTTAGGAAAGGATATGACTGAAATTAACAAAAAAATCTTATTTTAATAAAATTAAAACAAGATTAAAATGTTTAATTGAATTCACCCAAAGGCCCAAGACCCTAGTCTTTGATAATTAAATATATAATTATCATGGTCTTAATCAAGTAATTGCTCGACCCATTTCTTAACTTAATTAAGTGAGGAAAGTCAAGTGTTATTAAGTGTGTGAGAAACCTGCACTTTATCAATGTGAGATGGGTAAGTATGAGTTTCTACTCAAACATCCCAAGAATATCTGATGCAAAACCATTTATGTAAAGGTCATGCCTATTTGCTAACAGATACAA